GGCCAGCCTGAGGGCAGCCGCTTCCCCGAACCCCAACGGCCCTGGAAAAGGGGGGACCGCCCCGACGCCAGCGCCCGGCAAGCCTTCGAGGTGAGCCCGGCGGGGGTTCTGCGCGGGCACCCACCCATCCCACGCGTGTGCACGGGCACGGGAGCCCACCCACGCGTGTGCACGGGTATGGGTGTCCACTCACAGGTGCGCACCCCGGGATGGGGAGCGGGACGGCGGTGGGGACCGTTGCTGGCGGAGCAGCTCCCGGCTCGGTCCCCGCTGCTGGCAGTCACCCCGGAGGAAGGAAACGAGATTAATTGAAGGGCCCCGGGTCCCAGGTCCGGCGCTGCCGGAGCGGAGGCTATTAATAGGGCGGGGGACAAAGTCAATCAGCCCCCACATGCAGCTTGGGACCACCGTCCCCAAGGGGACCCCGGCAGGGTCCAGCCAGCCCTGCTGGCAGCCACCCTGTCCCCTCGTTGCAGGCTGTCACCATCATCACCTACAAAGAGCCCGAAAACCCCGAGTACCGGCCCTTCCTGGCACGGCTGAAGGAGGAGGCGCTTGCCCACTTCAACTTCTCCATGAAGGACGGCTTGGTGGGACACGGGATGGAGCTGGGGACAAGGGACATGGGATGGAGCCGGGGCTGCTGGGGGACACGGGATGGAGCTGGAACTCTTGGGGCACATGAGATGGAGCTGAGGACATGGGGACTTGGGATGGAGCTGGGGACAAGGGTCAAAGGGACATGGGATGGAGCTGGGGACAAAGTGACATGGGATGAAGCTGGGGACAAGGGGAGATGGGATAGAGCTGGAGCTGCTGGGGGACATGGGATGGAGTTGGAACTGCTGGGGGACATGAGATGGAGCTGGGGACAAAGGCACATGAGATGGAGCTCGGGCTGTTGGAGGACATGGGATGGAGCTGGGGACAAGGGACAAGGGGACAAGAGGTAGAGCTGGGACTGCTGGGGGACATGGGATGGAGCTGAGGCTACTGGGGGACATGGGATGGAGCTGGGGACAAGTGGACATGAGATGGAGCTGGGGCTGCTGGGGGACATGGGACAGAGCTGGGGACAAAGTGACAAGGGGACATGGGATGGAGCCAGGGGCACAGGATGGAGCTGAGGCTGCTGGGGACGAGGAGCTGCGGGATGACCTGGGGCTGCCAGGGACATGGGGACAGGCGCCCCCGGCTGCACCCAATCCCTGAGCCATCTCCGTGCCCCCAGATGAACTTCATCGCGGCCGCCTTCCATGATGGGGTGCTGCTCTACGCCCAGGCCGTCAACGAGACGCTGGAGCGAGGTGGCTCCATCACCAACGCCTCCGCCATCACCCGCCAGATGTGGAACCGCACCTTCTATGGTGAGCCCCGACCTCTCCGGTCGGATATCTCCCAGGATATTTTTTGGGAGCGCACCCCCTAGGGTCCTCCCCAGCCCCTCACCCTCCTTCTCCAGGTGTCACCGGCTTCCTAAAGATCGATGAGAACGGGGACCGGGAGAGTGACTACTCCTTGTGGGACATGGATCCCGTGCGGGGGGACTTCCAGGTGAGCCCCGGGGTGGGGGCAGCTGGTTCTGTGGGGCGGTTGGGGGCCTTCTCCCACCCATATCTTGCCCCCCCCCATCCCCAAGATCGTGGCCAACTACAACGGCACTACCAAGAAGATCCAGATGGTGCCAGGGCGTGAGATCCACTGGCCGGGCAACGTGGTCCCCTCTGATGTCCCCCCTTGTGGCTTCGATAACAGCGACCCGCTGTGCCGCAAAGGTGAGTGGTGTCACGGGGGGGACACACAACATGGGACCCTCACCCTGGGCACCCACCAACCCCTCACCACCCTCCTCTCGCTCTGCAGCCAACCTGTCCACCCTGGAGATCCTGTCCCTCGTGGTCAGCCTGATCCTCTTGGCCATCACCGTCACCTCCTTCTTCATCTACAGGTAGAGGTGCCTCAACGGGGTGGGTTGAACCCGAGGCTGCGCTGGTGCAGGGTGATGGGGCCCAGGGGGGGTGACAGACATGGGGTGGGGTCTCACCATGCCCTCCCGGCGCAGGAAGCTGCAGCTGGAGAAGGAGTTGGCGGCCGAGCTGTGGCGTATCCGCTGGGAGGACGTGCAGATGAGCAGCTTGGAGAAACATCTCCGGAGCGCCGGCAGCAAGCTCACCCTCTCCCTGGTGAGCACCCATCCCGTCTCCAACCCTGTCCTGGGGACGGGGACCGGGGACCGGGCTCACCCTACATCCCTTCCCACAGAGGGGCTCCAACTACGGCTCGTTGATGACCACAGAGGGGCAGTTCCAGGTCTACGCCAAGACGGCATATTACAAGGTATGGGGGTGCAGGAGCGGGGATGGGAACCCACCATCAACCATGGGGCACCCACCAGGCACCCACCACCACCCCGTTGGGCACCCACCACCCCGTGTCTCCCCAGGGCAACCTCGTGGCCGTGAAGCACCTCAACCGCAAACGCATCGAGCTGACGCGCAAGGTCTTGTTCGAGCTGAAGCACGTAGGTGGACCCCAGCTCGGCGTCGCACGGTGGGATGGGGGTCCCCAGCCCAGCGTCCCCTGGGTGGGGAGGGACATGGCGTGAGCCTGGTCCCACACCCTGCTCCACCTTAGATGCGGGATGTCCAAAACGAGCATCTGACCCGCTTCATCGGTGCCTGCACTGACCCCCCGAACATCTGCATCCTGACTGAGTACTGCCCACGCGGGAGCCTCCAGGTACCGGTGGGGTCTCGCCATCGTGTGGGGCTGGAATATCTCCTTCCAGTGCCCGTCACCCAGTGTCGGGGCTGCCCGGGGTGGGCAGGAGCTGACCACAGCGAGCAGATGGATGCTGTCCCCCATCCCTTGGGATTGTCCATGGTGGGGGGACAGCAGTGTGACTCTCCCATCCCCAGGACATCTTGGAGAACGAGAGCATCACGCTGGACTGGATGTTCCGCTATTCCCTCACCCATGACATTGTCAAGGTAAGGGGTCGGTTCCCATCAAGCACCCAGTTCCTACAGGGGTCCCCAGTTCCCATGAAGGGGAGACAGGACAACCAAGTTCCACCGCTCTCCACCCCTCCAGGGGATGCAGTTCTTGCACAATGGGGTGATCGTCTCCCACGGGAACCTCAAGTCCTCCAACTGCGTGGTGGACAGCCGCTTCGTCTTGAAGATCACCGACTACGGGCTGGAGAGCTTCCGCGTGGCCCCCGACGGCGAGGACTCCCACGCGCTCTTCGCCAGTGAGCACACTGCCCGTCCTCAACCCCCAACGCCAGGAGCAGCCCCTGCCTGGTGTCCCTGCCCGGCCTGAACCCCCTCTCTGGTGCCACAGAGAAGCTGTGGACGGCACCTGAGCTGCTGCGGATGGAGTCACCACCGGCTCGCGGCACACAGAAGGGCGACGTTTACAGCTTCGGCATCATCCTGCAAGAGATCGCACTGCGCAATGGCGTCTTCTACGTGGAGGGGCTGGACCTGAGCCCCAAAGGTGAGCAGGAGGGTTGGGGTGATGGTGCCAGGGACCTGGTGATGGCTGCTTGGACCATCTGATGGGTGCTTAGACCTGCTGTGATGGGTGCCTAGCCCCACTGATGGGTGGTTGGACCTGCTGGTGGGTGCTTGGACCTGCTGATGGGTGCTGTGACCTGCTGTGATGGGTGCTTAGCCCCGCTAATGGGTTGTTGGATGTGCTGTGACGGGTTCTTGGACCAGCTGATGGGTGGCTGGCCTTGCTGATGGGTGGTTGGCCCCACTGATTGGTGGCTGGACCTGCTGGCAGGTTATTGGACCTGCTGGCGGGTGCTTGAACCAGCTGATGGGTGCTTGAACATGCTGTGATGGGTGCTTAGACCTGCTGATGCATTATTGGACCAGCTGACGAGTGTTTGGACCAGCTGATGGGTACTTGGACCTGCTGCAATGGGTTCTTGGACCTGCTGATGGGTGCTTGGAAGTGCTGTGACAGGTTCTTGGACCAACTCACAGGTCATTGGCCTCGCTGATGCGTGGTTTGGCCCACCGGTGGGTGCTTGGACCTGCTGATGGGTGCTTGGAGCAGCTGAGGGGTGCTTGAACCAACTGATGGTGATTGGACCAGCTGATGGGTGGTTGGCCTCACTTGATGGGTGCTTGGACATGCTGTGATGGGTGCTTGAGCCTGATGATGGGTTATTGGACCAGCTGATGAGTGCTTGAACCAGATGACACGTTGTTGGCCTCACTGACGGGTGCTTGGACCTTCTGTGATGGGTACTTGGACCTGATGATGTGTTATTGGACCAACTGATGGCTACTTGGACCAGCTGATGGGTCGTTGGCCTCGCTGATGGGTGCTTTGACCTGCTGTGATGAGTGCTTGGACCTGATGATGTGTTATTGGACCAGCTGATGGCGTGTTGGACTGGTTGATGGGTTGTTGGCCTCACTGATGGGTGCTTGGACCTGTGATGGGTGCTTGGAACTGCTCCTGAGTGGTTGGACGCACTGACGGGTTCTTGGCCCTGTAGAGATCATTGAACGGGTGAAGAGTGGGGAGCGCCCCAGCTTCCGCCCCTCAGCCAATGTGGGGTGCCACATGGAGGAGCTGGGCCAGCTGATGCAGCACTGCTGGGCCGAGGACGTCCTGGAGCGCCCCGACTTCAACCAAATCAAGGTCCAGCTCCGCAAGTTCAACAGGTACCTCCACCTCGCCCAGCCCCGTGGGTGATGGGTGACCCCAAAAAGGGTCCCCAGGTGGGTGCTCACCCCCTGCCCGCAGGGAGAGCAGCAGCAACATCCTGGACAACCTGCTGTCACGCATGGAGCAGTACGCCAACAACCTGGAGGAGCTGGTGGAGGAGCGAACCCAAGCCTACCTGGAGGAGAAGCGCAAGGCCGAGGCTCTGCTTTACCAGATCCTGCCCCAGTGAGCGCTGGGGACGGGGGTCCGGCCCTCTGTGTGTCCCCACACACACTGCTGGGTGCCCTGGGGCACCACACTGGCATCCCCTGTGTGCTCCACATTGGGGTCCTCCATGGATGCCCTGGATGGCTGGGGGTGCTTGGAGGGGCTGGGGTCTCCAAGGACCCCCAAGTGGCTTGGGGCTGGGGGTGTTTGGAGGGGCTGGGGACCCCTTGGGGACCCCAAGGACCCCTAAGTTCCTTGGGGCTGGGGATCCTTAGAGGGGCTGGGGTCTCCAAGGACCCCCAAGTGGCTTGGGGCTGGGGGTGTTTGGAGGAATTGGAGACCTCCCCCAAGACTCCTGCCTGATGGGGCCAGGGACCCCCAAGGACCACCCGACATGGTTCAGGGCTGGGCATGCTTGGAGGGCTGGAGACCCCAAGGACCTCCTGCCATGGCTTTTTGGGGCTTGGGGTACCTAAAGGGGACACAAATGACCCCAGACCCTCAGCACGGCTTAGGGGTGGGGGTCCTCAGAGGAACCAGGGACAACCCTGGCCCCATATCATGGCTCAGGGCTGGGGCGGTCCTCAGAGGGCTGGAGACCCTGAGGACCTCCTGCCATGGCTCACTGGGGCTTGGGGTGCCTAAAGGGAACAGGAATGTCCCCAGACCCCCGTCATGGCTCGGGGCTGGGAGGTCCTCAGAGGGCTGGAGACCCTGAAGACTCCCCCCGGCACGGCTGGAGGCTGGGGCCACCATGCCCCTGGGAGGGGTTGGGGGGCTGTGGTCCCACCTCACCCATCTCCTGCCCCCCCCCCAGCTCGGTGGCGGAGCAGCTGAAGCGGGGGGAGACGGTGCAGGCGGAGGCCTTCGACAGCGTCACCATCTACTTCAGCGACATCGTGGGCTTCACGGCGCTGTCGGCCGAGAGCACCCCCATGCAGGTGGTGACGCTGCTCAACGACCTCTACACCTGCTTCGACGCCATTATCGACAACTTCGACGTCTACAAGGTGAGGACCCGCACACACACGTCTCAGGGGTCACGCCGGATGTGCCGGCACCGGTGTTGCATCCACGACGTGTCCCCAACGGTGTGTGTCCCCTCTGCCCCCACCCAGGTGGAGACGATCGGGGACGCCTACATGGTGGTGTCGGGGTTGCCGGTGCGCAACGGGAAGCTGCACGCCCGCGAGGTTGCCCGCATGGCCCTGCCTCTGCTGGACCCCGTCCGCTCCTTCCGTACGGCTTCCCATGGGTGAGTGGGGATGTGGACGGAGATGTGGCACCCCATGGGTCAGTGGGGACAAGGATGGGGACATGGCATCCCATGGGTCAGCAGGGATGGGGACAGGGACGTGGTACCCACATGGGTCAGCGGGGACAGGAATGGGGACACGGCTTCCCATGGGTGAGTGGGGATGTGGACGGAGATGTGGCACCCCATGGGTCAGTGGGGACAAGGATGGGGACATGGCATCCCATGGGTCAGCAGGGATGGGGACAGGGACGTGGTACCCACATGGGTCAGCGGGGACAGGAATGGGGACACGGCTTCCCATGGGTGAGTGGGGATGTGGACGGAGATGTGGCACCCCATGGGTCAGTGGGGACAAGGATGGGGACATGGCATCCCATGGGTCAGCAGGGATGGGGACAGGGACGTGGTACCCACATGGGTCAGCGGGGACAGGAATGGGGACACGGCTTCCCATGGGTGAGTGGGGATGTGGACGGAGATGTGGCACCCCATGGGTCAGTGGGGACAAGGATGGGGACATGGCATCCCATGGGTCAGTGGGGACAGGGACAGGGACATGGCATCCCATGGGTCAGCGGGGACAGGGATGGGGACATGGTACCCACATGGGTCAGCGGGGACAGGGATGGGGACACGGCTTCCCATGGGTGAGTGGGGAAGTGGATGGAGATGTGGCACCCCATGGGTCAGTGGGGACAGGGATGGGGACACGGAACCTACATGGGACAGCAGGGATGGGGACAGGGACATGGTACCCACATGGGTCAGTGGGGACAGGGATGGGGATGGGGACGTGGCATCCCATGGGTCAGTGGGGACAGGGACAGGGACATGGCATCCCATGGGTCAGCGGGGACAGGGATGGGGACATGGTACCCACATGGGTCAGCGGGGACAGGAATGGGGACACGGCTTCCCATGGGTGAGTGGGGATGTGGACGGAGATGTGGCACCCCATGGGGCAGTGGGGACAAGGATGGGGACATGGCATCCCATGGGTCAGCAGGGATGGGGACAGGGACGTGGTACCCACATGGGTCAGCGGGGACAGGGATGGGGACATGGCATCCCATGGGTCAGCAGGGATGGGGACAGGGACATGGTACCCACATGGGTCAGTGGGGACAGGGATGGGGATGGGGACGTGGCATCCCATGGGTCAGTGGGGACAGGGACAGGGACATGGGATCCCATGGATCAGCGGGGATGGGGACAGGGACATGGAACCCACATGGGTCAGAGGGGACAGGGATGGGGACATGGCATCCCAAGGGTGAGTGGGGATGTGGATGGAGATGTGGCACCCCATTGGTCAGTGGGGACAGGGACGGGGATGGGGATGGGGACGGGGACGTGGCATTCATATGGGTCAGTGGGGACAGGAATGGGGACGTGGCTTCCCATGGTCAGTGGGGATGGGGACATGGCACCCCATGGACCAATGGGGATGGGGACATGGCACCCACTGTGGGCTCATGGGTGGGGGGGACACGGCGTCCCCACAGGTCTGTGGGGTGGGGAGACATGGCACTCGCAGGGAATGGGGGGGACAGGGCACCCAGCCCTCCCGTGGACCCCAGGGACAGGGGAGGGTACACCAGCACCCAGGGGGACAGTGGGGCCACCAGGGGTGGGACCCCCCAGCGAGGGGGGCTGGGTCGGGACTGGGGACGGCCGGGGGGGACTCCGTGGGCGTAC